GAAAGGGTATAATACCATTCAGAAACGACCGTTCGCAGAGCGGTATGAATAGTTAATGTTGTGAGGGCAAGGTCTTTACAACATACATTACAGCTTTCATCCTGACTGTATGACTGATTCTGGCCAGAAAATAACGCGGAGGATTTGGACGAACGCGAGTGTTTTACCTCTCAGCTTGCCATAATTTCGTTCAGACATAACGTAGAACGGAGACTTACATGGTTTTGAAAACCAGAACATTATTGTTCCTAATGAGTACAAAACCTGGAACTTGATTACCCCGAAATTCACTCGTTGCGGATTTCGCTCTGAAAGTCAGCTTTAGCTGCAGTATGAGGATCTCCGCCTATTGGGGATCACACTGTCATCTAGAAAATAGGCTCTCCCTACATCTTCTGCTCGTTTGGTGAATAAGAACTGCATCACAGAGGTGCTGATCAACAGCTCCATGAAATGCGCCATTGACGATAGGCGCACTTCCTACAACGCAACCATCTGCTAAGCTAAGCTCCGCTGGCTGTACTCAGTGCTGGTTTTCTGTAATTGGCGACCCATCACTCACGATTGAGGGCGAAATAGCAATTCCGTCGCGAGCTCTTTCATGATGCTGTTGTGGGTTGGCCATCGTACTTCTTGTGAACTCCCTTTCCCCGGTTCTGAGCTTACGTCTGCCTTCAAGTCACCTTTCAGGTTTTTTTCACAGCAAGAACCACGAACAACCACTGTGCAAGAACCACGAACAACCACTGTTACCATTCAGGAACTGCACGACATCCGGTATCGCTACTCTCTCCATAAAGAGCCTCCGCGCTTATAACGGAACCCCTTATAGATATATAAAGTCACAAGTAAATCCTGTGATTCTCAGACACCGATGGCATGCGCCGGTTCTCAACGGTGTGATAACGCGCGCAACGAGCTGTCACGCGCTGGGACGCGAGTCGACGTACTCACTGCAGAACAAAAACATAAGGGGTGCTGCCTGAGGAAAAATTGAGGTGCTTCTGGAAAAAGTGAATCTACTTCGTTCCGGCACTGTTTGTGGTTCTACTAGAGGTCACATATGTTGCAAGTTGTGGCTATTCGAAGCATGAGCTCCTAAGTGGCTATAAAAGTCGGCAACAATTACACAACGGGCCAACAATGGACGCGAACGTTCGAAACGCGAATCCTTCTTGATACCATTTCTTTTCTTCCTCTTTTTATTAATTGAAAACCGGGGAGGAGAGGGGGATGGAGGAGGAGCGTCCCAATACCCGCCCCAGAGGAAATCATGTTTCAGCAGAAATTATTACACTAGCGATGGCGCGCACTTGGTGTGCGGCCTTAGCAGAGTTTGGTACCCTTTTGTTCCTCTGAACTCTCTCAAGACACAAGCGGCCAGCGTCGATCAACACCAGCCTGCGCTGTGTTCCCGTCCACAGATATTGCACTGGCAGCGAGTCGACGCACGATATTGTCGACGCTATGTGATAAACTGCGTGGAATTTCGTTATTCCCTGGAAATGACTAGATGTCAATGCAATAGTGACACATTTGATGCCATACTACAATTTATCTTAGCTTATACAAGCTCCAAGGTTGCTGTGGTGACAAGCTGATTTTTTCTTTTCAGAAAAGAGTACTTTTTTGAATCACCTTTTCTCAATTGCAATTTGCAATTTCTGCTAAAAGAATTGGCATTTATATTTCAAATCACATCAGATATCGTAGATGCAACCTTGCTTTATTGTTACTTATTCTGATGCTATCGTGGCCGGGGAGCATCTGTTTAGATCACTCAAATTACCGACCACCGCCATACGTCACCAAATGCCGTCGCTTCGTCGGTTCGCAATTTAACAACACTGACCTGGGTGAATCGAGTGTGAGTGGAACATCGAGTTCTCCCTCGTAATCCTAAGATGTGGAGCGCACCTCTGAAACATCCGACTACTAACAGTAAATCCATAGTAATTCTAATGACGGTGGCGTGCTTCATATTTAACTACGATTTATTCTACATTTTTTTTTATCTTTGCGGGATAAATGTATGTGGCATTCGATACAAAATAATGATAGAAAATTTATCTGGTTGACCGGAAAGTTTCCCGCATTGAATTGGTGAGGAATCCAACGGCCAAGCTTTGCGACTTTACCAATCTTCTCCAGCCCAGATTCAACAGTTGATTGGCATGGCCGAGCATCGCTGCAAGTTCCCTGGTAGTGGCGTACGGATCCTCTTCCACGGTGGATTGCAGCAACTTCAAGTCTAACTCCATCGGCCGGCCGGACCTTGGAGCATCTTGGAGAGAAAAATCTCCTTTCTTGAACTTGGCCATCCAGGTCTTGCACGTGTCGGTGAAGAGATAGGTAGACGTCATATATGTATCCACTATCTTGGCTTGGGCTTCCTTTGCGTTTAAGCCAGACTGATGAAGGAAAAGAAGACAGTGCCTCAGGTGCATCCTGTCGGGTTGAAACTTGGGCGGCATTTTGGAATCCAAATGCAAGCTGGGTGAGTGTGAGGTAGTGATGTGAAAGAGTCTCTTGCGTGCTTCATGCACACCCCACGATAAGTCATAAACATACATGCAAGGCTAATATGGTGCGATCAAACACGTGGCGGGAAACTTTCCGGTCAACCTAATACTTCAGTATGGCATCCATTATGCTCCAGGCAGTTTAACCTCAGTGCATAATCAAAGTCAATTAGCGGCCGTCCTCCTATTGTTTCATTGTTGAATGCGTCGAGCCCATCTGTAGCTTCCGCCATGGTCCTTTCACGGTGTTTTTTTTTAATAGTTTTTATGGCACACCTCGAGTGTATGGAAATAAATAAATAAATAAATGTCTCCTACTCGGATGGATTGGTGCGGAGTGTGGCTGGACTTTTTCCGCCTCATTTCATATGGACCACTCCCTGGTCTTTCTAAGCATGGAAAATGACGGTTGTTTTTCATGGAATATTCTGCGACTCGCAGTTTCTTCGAGCTGAATTGGGGTAGAAGTTTGGGAAGACTTGCTGAGTGCATCAGCAAATCTCTGATCGAACGAGGAATCGTTTGGTAACTGGAAGCATGATTTTCACACCATTTCATTTTCATAATTTTCCATCATTCATTTTTGCCCCGGCAGCTCCTATGCTTGAACTTGAATGTTAGTAGAAAGGTGCGAAAAAGTACAGGTTTCAGCGGTCGGAGGCGGAATCGTGCTCCTTAGAGACAGCGTGCGCGATCAACCAAGGTGCAGTAACCCTTCCGTGCACAAGATTGCGGAGTCTGCCATCAACAAGGATATCCCACTTCAATGGCTCGAAAGTATTTGCTAGAAGCACCACAGCTCAGCAATGATAGGCCAGCACTGCCTCCGCAATCTGGTTCCACCTCGACCATTTCTTGTTGTCAGGAATCATCGACGATTATAGCTGCCAAATTTTTAGCGCTCATTTTGTTAATTGCTGTTTCGCTCAAAGAATTCCATTGAGTTTTATAGCATTGCATTTTGCTTGTATGTCAGAAGTGTATGTCAAAATGTTGAAACGCTTCTTGTAATGCGGCCCAAGTCTCGCAATCCCGTTCATCTATCTTGCTCATTTGTTCGCTGTGTCTGGCTGTCTTCATGATACTCAGAATCTTGATTTTTATTAATGCCGGCCAGGACCGACGGACAACATTCTGCACAAATCATTAAAATTGACGACAAGTCGAGCCACGGCACATCATCTATGCACTTATTTTAGAATAGTCCCAGCGAAAAAAAATCCGCGCGCTATTCACTCTCTTTTCTATTCTTTACGTTCTGTTGATGCACGCAATACGAAGCCATTGTTCCTTCATTGCACAGCACTTTCGCAGCGGTAGAGCGGCAGTACTGACCATGAGACATCCCCATGAACTTGCGAAGATCTGAATGTCTGAGATTGCTATTCTGTACATTGTGTGCCTGTGCAGTTCCAAACTCCGTTCGATATCGCCATGTTGAGGCCACGGCTCCGCCCACTGGCCACATCGACAACCAACTTCGGGTGTAGGTTAGGACTCCACGAGAGGTCACGGCAGCCATGTTTCGCCTCGCCGCGCGCGGCGATTGCTGCCCTGATTGGACAAGACCCATACAGTCGTGCGATTAAGATCCCGGTCCCTTCACATAGTTCTGGCATCACGCAAATCTGCTTGGCATTTTGCCAAACTAGAATATTCAACACGTCAATATTTTTGAATGGCAGCTGTATTTATTCAACAGATTACTGTATTTCTCCAATACTACCTACTTTTCAAATCTTAGGAATTTACAATACCTTGCAAAGGAGTGCAAAAGGAAGGATTCACCCTAAAGTGAATTTTTGTAGATTGCTGATGTATTCTCTAAATATTATTTCTATGTAAATGGACATTGCTTTATACTAATAGTTGAACATCGGGCCCACTCCTTCCATAGTTTTCACACCTGCAAGTAATAAAGCAGACTGTTGGAAATCTAACGGACTATGCAAACGCCGCGCACATAGCGAAAACATCGCGGGGCCCGCCTCTCCTCGCCGCGTCGCGGCGGCAGGCTGACCTCTCGTGGAGTCCTAACCGTTCCCCACCAACTTCTATTTGACTCCCACCTGATGGTGCGGTTGTTTCGCTACTAATTCTCTCCATTTCGAATGGTGAGAGGGAAAATAGGGAGAGAGAGAGAGTTGACATCAACAAATGAGAACTCGTCTGACCACGCCCTTTATTAGCTTTATGCACGCGGAAGCGCGCGGCCCAGCATGGAGCTTCATATGACGCGTCCCAGACGGGTCTTTAGTGCTTTTTCTGTTGTTCTTTCTGTTGTTATTGGTATTCAAGCCGCAAAAATCCCCATTTCAGTGACAGTGTCTTCAAAATAACAGAGGACGTAGGCTGCTACGATCATCCGTGACGCCGAAATGTTATGTCGGGTCAACTAGCTAGAAAACTTGCAGGTTCACGCAGGAGAACGTGTCTCTGATGTCCAAAACAACACCAGAGAAATCAGGCTAGTTAGTTTTAGAGTGATGAGTACTGGAGAGAGTCTTTGGTGGCCTGACAAAACCCGAAGCAAAACTTATACTCCAGGTCCCCACTTTCTTTCTCGAAGAGTAAAATCTCCTCCAGCTTCGCTTCCGCTCAAAATCCAAAACCATAAACTAGCTATCCTTTCATGAAAAGAAATTTCAGAGTTCAGAAGGCCTTCCCAGCATCAAGTAGAATAGAAATACATTGCATGGCAACCCAGCAGCGGTCGACTGCGCACAGAGAAGTCAACAGCGTTGCCATTTTTCGAGAAAAAGCGCTGTTATGGTCAGAAACTGCAGCTTTTCCCGGGGCAGATAAAAACTTATCCTTCTACTGTTGCGAAAGTGTAAACGCTCCGTAACAAGGAGTTGTTTATTTTTTTCATGCGCAAAGTAGACGGTGTGCGAAACCATTCATTTGTGTCACGCATATAAATAAAAACATATTCAACTATTTTCCAGCGTAGCTTCCTTTTCCTCCACCTCCGCCTCCGCCAGGCCCTCCAAGGCCTCCTCCTCCAGGTCCTCCGAAGCCTCCTTCGCCAAGTCCTCCAAGACCTCCTCCTCCAGGTCCTGCACCGGCATATGCTGCTCCTCCGCCTCCGCCTGGTCCTCCAAAGCCTCCTTCGCCAGGACCTCCAAAGCCTCCTCCTCCGCCAGGTCCTCCAAGACCTCCTCCTCCTCCAGGTCCACCGGCATATGCTCCTCCTCCACCTCCGCCTCCGCCTGGTCCTCCAAAGCCTCCTTCGCCAGGACCTCCAAAGCCTCCTCCGCCAGGTCCTCCAAGACCTCCTCCTCCTCCAGGTGCACCGGCATATGCTCCTCCTCCACCTCCGCCTCCGCCTGGTCCTCCAAAGCCTCCTTCGCCAGGACCTCCAAAGCCTCCTCCTCCGCCAGGTCCTCCAAGACCTCCTCCTCCTCCAGGTCCTGCACCGGCATATGCTGCCTCCTGCCACC